CTCTTTTTCTGTCATTTGGGTTCGTGGCATTATCAAAAGAATGTTGGTTTTTTTTTTTTAAAAGCTAGGTATTTAGATGTCAAAGAAGCAAGAAAAAAAAAAATTTGCCCCAAATTACGTAAGTATGGGGTAAACACAACCGTTTTATTTGCTCATGTGAAATGATCTGCAAATTGGGCGTTACTTTTGATGGCTACTGTACAGTTTACATGAAAATAAAGAATAAAAAAAAATTAAAACTTTCAAAAAATAAAAAAAATAATAAAATCTTACAAGCATAGCCGCAAAATCTAGTTCAAAATGTTAATATAAACTCCTACTTAATATCAGTGAATATAAAAAGAACTCAAAAATTTACTCGCTCAGTTTTGTAATTACTTAAAAATTTAAAAATTTAAATTCACTTAACTTTCAATCTCTACAAATTTGTAATGGATACACGTTGCTGATCTTTATGAATCCGCTATCCTCTATGAATCTCACGATGTTTTGCATGATATTTCAGATAATAATATGGCTGCAAGCACTGCTACCACAAGTAATAAAGACATTGCATCTGATATTTCTGATAATCCTGTTGTCCCCCTTCAAATAAAAAAAAACCCAGATCTAAACCTTCTCCTGTTAATCCATATTTTTCGCAAAAAACCATTGACGATAAGAATGTAATTTGCAGTTTCTGTAAACAACAGTTTAGTATAACTACAGCTACTGATAACCTACGCAAATATCTTGACTCTAAACACCCCAGTTGGAATACAAATAATCAAATATCGGGTCAACAGCTTCTTCTATTCATATCTAAAATTATAATTTCTAGACAAATTTTAACATCAACTCAAAAAGCTAAGCTAAATATGTTGATTGCTGAATGGATTGTATCTGATACTTTACCTTTTTCTATTGTATCGAGTAAATCATTTGTTATTATACTTTGATACCTTAATGCTAATATCGATCTTCCTTCATGTGAAACTATGAAATCTATTGTTCAAAGCTCTTTTATCACAATGCAAAAAGAAGTTAAAACTCTTCTAGAACAAGTTTCTAGTAA